CGCGGGGGCTGCGGGCCCTCACCGGGTGCCTGCTGGGCGCCCTGGTGCTGAGCACGCTGGTGGGCAACGCGCTGGTGTGCCTGGCCGTCCTGCGCTTCCGCCACCTGCGCGCCAAGGTCACCAACTGGTTCGTGCTCTCGCTGGCCGTCTCGGACCTCTGCGTGGCCCTCCTGGTGATGCCCTGGAAGGCGGTCACTGAGGTGGCCGGTGGCTCCTGGCTCTTTGGCAGCCGCTTTTGTGACACCTGGGTGGCCTTCGACATCATGTGCTCTACCGCCTCCATCCTCCACCTCTGCATCATCAGCCTGGACCGGTACTGGGCCATCGCCAGCCCCTTTCGCTATGAACGCAGGATGACGCAGCGCCTTGCCTGTGCCATGATAGCCATGGCCTGGGCCCTTTCCATCCTCATCTCCTTCATCCCGGTGCAGCTACACTGGCATAAAGCCAAGGACATGAGATATCCAGGCTCCTTGCTGCCTGGGACGCCTCGCTGTGATGTCAGCCTGAACCGCACTTATGCCATCACCTCCTCCCTTATCAGCTTCTACATCCCCGTGGCCATCATGATCATCACCTACACCAGGATCTACCGAATTGCCCAGGCCCAGATCCGCCGCATCTCTACCCTCGAGCGAGCAGGGGGGCAGTGGCCAGCCCACGGCAAGGAGCCCACCTCCTCTTTGCGGAGTTCCCTGCGCAAGGAGACCAAGGTGCTGCAGACCCTCTCTATCATAATGGGAGTCTTCGTTTGCTGTTGGCTGCCCTTCTTCCTGCTCAACTGTCTGCTGCCTTTCTGCCAGCCCAAGCTGGAGAGTGACCATGAAGGACAGTCACCCTGCGTTGGCCAAACCACATTCAACGTCTTTGTGTGGTTTGGCTGGGCCAACTCCTCAGTGAATCCAGTGATCTATGCTTTCAACGCAGACTTCAGGCGGGCTTTCAGCAACCTGCTGGGCTGTCGGAGCTTCTGCTGTGGCACACCAAGATCCACTGTGGAGAGGGTCAACTTCAGCAATGAGCTGGTGTCCTATCACCATGACACTACCTGCCAGAAGGAAGGAGCTGCCTCATCGTCAGTACCTGTGCCTGTGGTCACTGCCTGGGTGCAGGCTGTACCCCATGCTGTAACCCTTCAGGGAGAGGACAGCAGCGAGGAGATGTCTATGGAGAAGAGGCCTGTGACTTCTCAGACACAGGCTGCCCCTGGCAGCAGCCCCAAGTCATCAGGTGCCAGCCATTTTACAATTTGACTGCAAGGCAGAGCTATCCCTGGAAACTACTACTCCTTGTATGGGGCTTGGTGGGTATGAGGGACCCCATCACCCTGTTTCAGAGGGACAAGCGATTGTGTGTTTCTCTCACACGCACAGCCATCCCATGGGGAGGGTTCACTTTGCCTGCACATGAGATACACCTGTCCCCCAGCCAACAAAGTCCCATCCCAGAGGGATGGGGACCTGCTGCTCTTACCCCAGAGGGGTGATGGGTGTATGAAGTCCACCCCAAAAGCATATAGCAACCACATACTAACCTTTTTCCACGATCACCTTCATCCCTTACTTTCTTTCACAGTCAGTAGACATTTCCCATGCATTTGTTCATCCCCATGCTTCAATCAAATTTGTGATGTTTATTAAGAATAGTGAGATAATTAGATCAAAATAAAAACAACTCATAGTTTGAGACTCTAAAATATAATCTTACATAAATAAGTTAATCTTAGATGTAGTTTCATTGCTAAACCCCATTTTTTCCCCCTCTCGTGGTTTCACATCATACATGTGCATAGTTCTGGTCTTAAAGGTTTGTGTTTGATTTTACTTCTATGCTTATTTCAAAGCTGCCTGTCTGGATTTACATGTCTGAATCTGTGTTTAGGTGCTTAGATACAAATTGCTCTATTAAAATTTCATCATGATCTTATGTTGAGTCAAAAGACTGCTCAAAACCCTGGAAAATTAAGTTGCTTTTATGTAGGACCCCATCACATTTTCAGGTCCCAAACTTTGGTATCCAGGCTTAATGACACCGAACTAGGATCTTCCTCATCCTTAAATGTTATAAAGTGCAGTGTTGTGTTAGGCTGAAATTACAGAAGGATGATGTTTGAGATCTAACACTACAACTCCAGTGCGATTTAAGCTGCTGTCAGCTGAGACACCTGCAATCCTTCTTTCTCCTACTAGTTCAGGCAGCTGATCCTTCCAGAAAGCAAGCTGGTCCACAAAATAGAGAGTGACCAGATCATCGCTCTGCATTTCACTACTTGTAGACATGAACAGCAGCAAAAGGCAGAGCAAATGTGTGTTGGGTGGCTTGCAGGAGAGAAAATACTGGGGGATCTTGACGATCATTTCTGTATGTGTAAAAGGGTTCAGCAAAAGTAGCACCTCACTGTTCTCCCCTTCTCTGTCCACCACTTAGGAGTTCTGCTGCTGACCATTTACTACTGTGCTCTGGTAACCACTATCATTGCCCCAGTTTTCTGTCCTTTGCCAGATGGGTGCAACTCTCCAGAAAGAGACATCAAGAATGCTTACACTTCAAGAATTTTCTTGGACATTCAGTCTTATAGATGGCATGGCTAATATCTTTCAGAACAGTGATCCATGCTGACAAGTCAGCTGCTGAAAAGCCAGACTCTCCTCCCAGTGATCCTGCTCCTGTGAATTTAAACCGTGTGTAGTTCTTAAGTCCCTGTACACATCTTCTCCCATCACATTAATTCTTATGGGAAAAATTGCTTTTACTATCCTGCTCTTTTCAGAAATGCGTCCTTCATGGATAGTTGGGCGTGATGGCAATCTGTTCTTCGTGGCCAGGACTGGCAGGACAAGAGGTAATGGACTTTGTAAGAAAGACCAAGGCAAGACTTCAGAAAAACTTCCTAAGAATAAGGATAATTAAGCACTGGACTAGATTGCCTAGGGAGGTTATGACATCTCTCTCAGTAAAAGTCTTTAAGACAACATTGCTAAACATATCAGAAATGACACTGGCATTGTTAATCCTGTCTTGGGGCAGAGGCATGGTGTAATGGTCTCTCGAGATCTTTTCTAGTCCTCCTTCACTATGACAACATGACTCCTTAAGATGACTCCTTAAGCAGTGAGCTCAAGATGTTTCAATTTTGTTTGTTTGTTTGTTTTGCATGCAATGATCCTTAGTTATTTTCTTGAAGGCAAAAAAACATACAGGTAATAACTTTTAGATCCCATTGGTGTATTTCCCTTCTTCTCTTAGCGATTACCCATGTTTCCTACCATTTAACAACTATCACTCAGCATGCCTAGTGCCTCATCTGGAGAGCAACCCTGAAATAAATCTAGTATTTCCTTAAAAGAGATACAAGATCTGTTTTTTGTTTTCATTCCCTTTATTTTCTAGGTGATCACACATGAACTGTACATGGATTCAGATGCTAAAGGGTCAATCAATTTGTGATTTGCTACATTTCTTCCTTCTTACAAAAACCAGAAACATGTATCATAAGAGTGTCAGCATGTTTTATCTCCTCAAAAAAACCCCAGATGATATCCTAGAGCTGTAAGAGACTTCTCATCTCACCCCATCCACACTAGAACCCATCCTGGGGAGATACTGACACACCTGGTAAGATGCTATCTTGAAGCGTGACTCCCTCTGCTACACTTCTGTTTCTGTTGCAAGAGGTTCAGCTGGCTCCATCCCTCAGAGAGTTAACTCTGCCTGCCCACACACATCTTCCTTCTCGTGGGCAGGCAGTCTTCTGGCAGTCAAGGCCACACATGAAATTATGATGCACAGAAGCTTTTTTTTTTTTTTTCCGGTGTATGTGTGCGTGCATACAGTGGCATTAGTAGTGATAAAGGCTGTTAATTAATGGAAGGGAAAAATTTACCTTCCCACAAGGTTTGCCCTGCCTGTCGAGATGTCTCGCCTAGGAAGTTGGACTTAATACATAGAGTGATGAAAACTTAGTGTATGACAGAGTGGGTGGCAGAAATTAAGCAATGAATATATTTGAATAACATTTTCTCTTAAGAATAATCAGAAATGCATGGTAGCTTTGATTTATGAAACTATATTTGTGTTAAGAATGGAAAAAGCTATTTGTATCAGTGCTTGTGGCTGTAGTTTAAATAAAGTTCATCAGTAGGTCAGAATGTATCTGAAAATAAATGGATATTTACCTGAAGAAAAAAACCTAGTCTTTACTGAAGCTTTTTAAAGGGACAATTTAAAATTGCTCTTTGTAAATTGTGCTGGAAATAATTGTTTGTACCTAATTGATAATGTTCATTACTAATGTGCAGATGATACACGTTACTACATGGGCCTTACAGCTGCAGACTATTGTAAGTGCAGTGTAATGTTCAAGGCTGCAGTAAATTTCAGAAATTGTGTATTATAAACTGTTTATACTCATTTTAAGTGGCACATTACTGAAGGTACTTCAGACTACACCTTCTGCTGTTGCTGATTTAATAACACATAAATATTGATACTGTATGTATTTTTATTTTCCTAGGCTAGGAAGGTTCCCAGATGTTAAGCATACTACAGACCATGCAGTTCTGTGAACAGTAAATGAGTAAAACTTATTTTCCTAATAATTTTTGCTAGTGATTAACTGCAATTTGTAGTTGAAATTTCTCTCATGACAGGGCAACCTGCTGTGTTAGATTATACAAGATTCAATTAGCATTGTTAGGTTCAAGTCTGATGGGATATATTAAAATTATTACAAAAAGCCAAAGGTTTACTTCAACAGAAATTACGAGACAAAATTATTTTCTTGCACCATTACAGTCACTCAAAAGAAACACCTTCTAAAGCAAAACCTTGGCAGTACTTTGTTATCCATTTCTGGGTCACAACTTTCTCGGCTTGGCAGGACAAAATGAGTCACAAATGACAACAGTATTATTTTAGGGACATCTATGGCTATTCCTCAGACACACTTTTTGTAACTCAGATCATCAAATCTACATACTACTTTATGTATTGACCGCAATATATGTAAGGTATTTTACTGACTAAAAGCAGTTCACTTCTATGCCTAGTAGTTCCACATTTACAATACCATTAACGTCACAATGACATAAAAAATAGCTTTTAAATTGCCTTGGTGTCGAAACAGTCCAACCTCACAGATACCTTATCTAAACACTCTTATTAGCCAATGTCTAAACATCTGAATCAAAACACGTTCCAGTTCAGCAAAGCAGGACTTTGCGATGTATACCAAATGCCTTCTCTGTTCAGTCACATAATTCCCACTCCCTTTCCTTCTGTCAGTCTGCAAAGCTCTCAACACCTATACCTCCAGAGCGCTCTTATTTCTGCCTATCACACAACTGAAAAGAAAACAAACGTCTTGTGGTCAATTAAAAGCTTACGTAGCTGAGCTGACTCTGCAGCCCTTCTCAATATTACATCACACATGAGAAACAGGGCTAATGTCTCTGTAGCCTCCTTGGGTGGCCGTGGAGATGCTTATCCAGCTGAGAGCTTTTCCCTGCTGTCAGATTTCTCTGAAATTGTTCATTGGGCTAAAAAGCAAACAGCATTCTTTAAGGAAAAGGAAGCATAAGCTTCAAGACAGAGCTCTCTGGAGCTGGAGATAGAGCAGGGGGAAGACAAGAACTCTTTCTTCATGAAAGACCAAGGCTGGTTCCCACAGCCCTGTGTGGCAGAGGTGCCAGCAGAGATACCAGGTGACATTTCAGTAACCATCCATCAGGGGGTTGGTTCTAAGACCAAATGTAGTGCCACCAGTTACATGCAGCACCTTTGTAGCAAGAAATAACAGCAGGGCAGCAAAGATGTACCCAAACACCACATTGATGCAAAGTTTCATCTTGTTTTCTCAGCAATACTTTTAAACAATTAACTACCACACACATGCACCCTTGATATTATGCTTACATTTTTGTGTTCTGTTGTTTATTGCTTATCTGTTTGCCTGTCATCTTATTTATGTAGGGCTTTATTTTGCATTACACACAGACTTTCAGAGATCGCCATTGACTTTAAGAAGCTTGTTACAGCTACAGCACTGCCTCTATGCATATTGGTTCCAGGAATGGGAAGGGACTGAAAAAGCACACGTCACTTTGCATGAGAAAACATAAAGCCTTGGGATAATTCTATGATTCAAACCATAACAACAGAAAAATATATTTTCAAAGAAACTTCCCATTAGCAAAATCCTAATAAGCAAAACCTAAAAAGATTGGATTTCCCCCCCAGTCTCCTCCTCCCCTCAGATTAGAAGTCTACCCAGATATCCAATCTGCAGGGAAAAATCTTCCCCCTTCCCCCTCTTCTTTCTCCTTCACAAGTGCATGCAGACATGTGGATACTGCAGAGGGCAAGGCTTTCCAGCTCTAACTCTTCCCTTCCTTCCCACAACCCGCTGCTCCACCTTTGAATAATAAGCAAAGCAGGGGGAAAAAAAAAAAAAGAAAAAGAAAAAGCACAAGGAAACCACCACCACCACAATGACAAATGATTCCACTGTCCAAAGTCTAAGCAGCCACTTCTCAGGGCCAAAACCAGTATAGTCATATGGATATTCAGCTTTATATTTATATAAGCTTTTGGATTCTTCCACTTGGAGGTTTTCAGGAAGGGCACTTCATAAAAGGCCGTGAAAGTTATTTTAGCCTTTATATATTGCAAAATATATTTCCAAGACATCAGAGGAGATGATATTTTTCCAAAATTAGTCTTCTCTATTTCTTGCTAAATTGTTGTAATTTGTTTTGCTGAGTTGAATACAGACTAAATAACATTGTGTCTGTCCTTAGAAAGTCCATCCAAATATATGTACAAATGGAAAATTAATTAGATAGTTTTGATTTAGCAACTATTACATATAGTTGCTATGATAAAGGTAAAAATATTAAATCTCATCCACAAGTTTATAGTTAGGTGTAACTTCAACAAATGCTGAATTCAGTGGAAATATCAATGTAAAGGAAGTCAAGATTATACCTCAACTGTATCTATTTTGTTCTTATCCCTCTGATACTAAGGTGATGCCCTAACATTTCAGTAAAACTTTAATTTCAGTGGAAAACAGCTGACCTAGGTAGCAAAAAGAGAAATCTGTTATAAAACTCAGTTGCTGTAAGCATCTGTTGTTTTGCTTTTGCCAAAATCATGCCTCTTGTGTTGGATTTCAGATGATGCACCTACGCACACCATATTAAGTATATTTCAATCAGTTGAGTATTTCTCAGTAAAAATTCTTTTGTGAAAAATTCTCTGTTCTTCATAAGTTGGGTTTTTTCCTCACCTGGGGGGTTGAAGTGGATTTCTGGATGTTAAGCACTACCAGTCCGGTCCCCCTGGACTCTGATGTACTTAAGTGGTTTCATCACCATGGTTACAAACTCTCACCACATAACTTTATTTATCTCATTGTTATAATTTAAGAGTTAACTCACTTTCCTGAATCTTCTCCCCTTTCCTACTGCAGAGGGACATACAGCTGGATGCACCCTCTGGGCACAGGCTATTCCTCAGATTTCTGATTCTCTTAAGACCCGATTTGCATTTACACCAAAGAAAGGCACAAAGATGTTAGAGTAATGCATTTTCCTAGCATATTTGGCTTGAAATAAAACTTATGGTAATCCTGATCTGGGCTTGTTATCCCTCACCAATCCCTACCTGTATCTAATCATTCAAGACATTTCAGAAACCCCAAGGCTTATGACTGCATTCCACATTTTTGATGTTAACTGGCCACATGATAGGAAAACTGGCTATCAGTGGAACTACTGATAGCAATAAACGAAGTGTGGACGTGTATGCAGGATCTTTGCATGTGCATAGCATAAAATGAAG